GTGTTCCTTTGTTGTTGTTTGTGTTCCTTTGTTGTTGTTTGTGTTCCTTTGTTGTTGTTTGTGTTCCTGAGTGGGCCTCGTCTCAGCTTGCTGCCTCTGACCTGACCCACGTGTCTCCGATGATCTCAAATGCAGAATTGAGCTGGCTGTCATTCTTCACTGGACTGTTGGATTAGAGTTAGTGAAGCCCTGGCTCCTCCTGCTCAGTGTTTGTGCTGCTTCTGATGCTTCAAGATACTTGCTGTGTGTTTCTTCTGTGTAGACTCCTGGTTTTGATCTTCCCAGGTGTGTGGTAAGACAAACCCTGAGTTGAGAGAGTGTTGTGTGGACTCCTTTCCTCCCTGGAGTCCCTGGAGCACTATACGCCTCCAATGAACTTTACAAATCATATATTTGAGTCCAACCTGCCTACCAACACAGATACACAAAGTCAAAATATGTAATGTAAAGCCTTAAGACTGCATTATAATAAACAACTAAATGTTCCCAAATGCAAAACAGAACTACGAATGTTGAACAACCTTAAAAGTTCAAACATTATTAATCGCACCAAATCTCAACAACAGTCCCCTCAAGGTGCTTTATATTGTGAGGTAGACCCCACAATAATCAGACCCAAGATCATGTGCAGCCGATATTTTACAGAATCTGTCCTCTGTGTTGGAAAGGCCGTCAACTGTGTGTGGGAGCCCCCTTGTGGCGAGAGGGCACAGGTGCACTATTGAACACATGTTCCAGGGATCAGAGTTTGAGCGGACTGACTCAGCGGGGGATGTCGACACACAGTGTGAGTCGTGCGCGTTGCTAAAGAACTGAGTGGACGTGGAGCCCTGCCTGGAAAGGACAGCTTTAGTCTTTTAGGCATTTAGTGGATGTAGAAGTGCAATGTGTATTGGCCTGTTCACCTGTGTGGCCAGTTCATGCTGCTAATGTTGTACACAATAATAATAATGCACACTTTGCATTGATCCCCGTGGGGAAATTCACTCAGTGAAGCAGTGGGCAGACACCAGTGCAGCGCCCGGGGAGCACTGTGTGGAGATGGTACCTTGCTCAGGGGTACCTCAGGGTAGCCGTTCAGGGGATTCGAACCCCTGACCTTACGATCATGGGGCAACCGCTTTGGTTGATTGGCTGTTTTGTGTTGTTGGGTGTATTGGCAATTAATGTCATGGACTGTAAGGTTTTCTGAGTAGTGCATGGAGATCTTCATATCGGAATTTCCATTTGTAGTTCTGGTCAGACTGGAAGAAAGCTCATGAATCTTAATTCATGACTTAAATGTTTGTTATATTCAGTATTTTGTATATGTTCTGCTCTTGTTAGCTAACAGCTAACAGCCCCCCCACCTACGAGTTCTTGTACATCCTCTGTAAGCCTGCGGTTGCATTACTGTGCTGCTGTGCTGCGCTGTTAAGCTACAGAATCACAGTAAAGACGGAATAACTGTATTTGTGCGTCCTGTGTGTTCTGACACCGCAAGGTGAACACCACTGCTATTCAGCCAACGCCGATACAGTCCTGGGTTCAACCCAAATTAACTCAGAATCAGAACAGAAGCAGAAAGAATGGCTTCTAAGTACACAGCAGATTGTCTCTCTCACTCACTGTCTGACTGCTACAACTATCACAGCCGAACATAAACACAGGTTCAGATATGCTTTTTTCCCTGCTGTCAAATAATTGTGTAGTTATCAGTGAATTCACTGTCACTGATGATTCCAGGGAATCCTCTCCTCCCCAAACTTTACAGTCTGAACGGGAAACTTGTGCAGACACTGATGTGGAGAAGCCAGCCGTAAAAGTCACTGTCTGGATGTACTTGTACTTGTAACTGCACCTCTTTAGTTTCTTTTAACACCAGCAGATGTTTCGCTGTTCATAAAGACCCTAAACAGGTTTCTGTCTGGCTCCACCCACTGATGCTGAACTCAGCCAATGAGATGGTCTCTCTGTGCAGAACTACAGCCTGATATTGAGGAGAAGGCTGTGCAGCAGAGAGGCTGCTTAGTCTTTTCATTTTGCTGAACTTTGTTCATCTGCTGTGTGACTTCAGCACCTGAAACATGTTCCTTTACCTGTTTGTACTTTTCTCTCACTGCATAGGTGAGTGTTAGAACACAGAAAAGTCTCATGGTGACAAGATTTGATCAGGAAATAAAAACCAGAGGAGACACAGATTCAGGGAGGAGCTGAGCTGCGACTGAAGAGCAGACGAGACAGAGAAACCTCCACATTCAACACAGAAGATTCAGTCCAACATGTTGTTGTTGGGCTGTTATGAAACTTCTCTGTTAATCATCATGATTCTAACAGGTACATGTGAAAAAACTTCATCCTAATATTTTAATTATTATTCACGATTTCTTTGTAAAATATTTACAGATTTCTGTTTCTTTAGGTGTCAGCTGTCAACAACTCACTGCCAGCAAAACTGAAGAGTCCAGTTTGGAAGGCAGCACAGCTACTCTGTCCTACAGATACTCCAGACAAGCAACTGGAAGTGATCAGTTCTACTGGTATCGACAATATCCTGGAAAACCACCAGAGTTCCTGACCTTTAACTTGGGAACACAAAACACAACAAATTCCAAACTTTCTGTCAGAATGGTCGATGACAGAAATGGTCTGAACCTTCAGATCTCCTCTGCTGCAGTGACAGACTCTGCTGTGTACTACTGTGCTGTGAGGCCCACAGTGACAGGAAACAGCAAAACTCTGTACAAAAACCTTTGGAGCAAAGACAACAGAATACTCCACAACATCCACTAGAGGGAGCCACAGTCTGTTAAACCTCTGTAGACTCTGAGAGAATGAGGCACAGCTGTGACAGCGAACTTTAGCAGCTACAATAACGTCACGAGTCTCCTCCTGAGTCTTGTAATCACAGTGTTCAGCTCAGGTGAAGCCTGTCATGCAGCAGCAGAGCAGCAGAGCTGGAAGAAACACAGCCGTGGGAACATTCCTGTTTCAAACCAAACACTCATCTTTCTCCGTTTTGTTTGCTCACAGAATATTAAGAATATTTTAATAGATGATTTTAGCTCTTGCAGATGATTCATTCAGCAGATTACAACTAGAAAACAGATTTTTACGGGAGGCTTTGATTAACCTGAAATTGCTCTGAGTATAAATGTGTGTGAAAGGGTGAACGAGGCTGTTGTATGAAGCACTCTGAGCGCTCAAGTAGAAAAGTGCTTTATGAGAAGCAGGAAGCTGAAGCTGATAAATGGAGCAAGTCTTGTTTTTCTTCATTTTACTGAAGCTCTTTATAAACCTTTTCCTTCTTAAGGCTTTTTTCTTTTGTATGAAAAATAAATTCCTCGCTAATACACACGTCAATGCCAGACTTAATAATTAACCTACTTTAAAAACATGGACATTACATTACATGAGCTAAAAGGTGGTGTCAAAGACATATCCACGTTCTATCTGAACATATTAATGCTCACAAAGATGAAAGTTTCCAAAGGCACGAGCATGTACATGAGCTTCCTCTTTTATTCCTGCTGAAACATTTGTTCACAACATTACCGGAGAAGATACGCCAAAGACAGGGTCATGGCCAAACGCTACTGTTGCTCAGTGCATAACACAACAGAGACCATTTGTGACACACGTCTTCCTCTGATCAGATTTCAAAGCCAAAACATTTTAGAATAAATTTACTTACAATATTTATTAATTACACACTTATTTATTACCTTTATGTAACTAAATCATGTCCTGAACTAATTACTGTCTTTGAGCAACACAGCAAACACAGAGCAGAGAGGAGGAGCAGAGATTCAGGGAGGAGCTGAGCTGTTACTGAACTATAGAAGAGAGAAAAACCTCCACATTCAACAGAGTTCAACACAAAACAAACTTTATGTTCCTCAACATGCTGTCATTACATCACTGTGTGTTTCCTCTGATTCTTCTCACTCTCACAGGTCTGCTCACCTACACAGGAAACTATGTTCAATTCAATGATTACTGTAAATTTTGTGTAACTGATTAATAACAGATATTCCTTTTTCTTCAGTTATCAGATGTGAAGAACTCACTCCAACCAAAGAAAAAGAATTTACTTTAGAAGCCAGCGCTGTTGCTCTGTCCTATAAATACTCCAAAGCTGCTGTTGGAACTGATTACTTCTTCTGGTATCGACAATATCCTGGAAAACCACCAGAGTTCCTGATCTCTCACTTTGGAACAGGAGACAGAATATCAGATCCAGTTCCTGGAATAATGTTTAATGTGAGTGGAGATAAAACACTGATGACTCTTCAGATCTCCTCTGCTGCAGTGACTGACTCTGCTGTGTACTACTGTGCTGTGAGGCCCACAGTGACAGGAAACAGCAAAACTCTGTACAAAAACCTTTGGAGCAAAGACAACAGAATACTCCACAACATCCACTAGAGGGAGCCACACACTGTTAAACCTCTGATTCTTGTGTCATTGGACTGATGACAAAGACAACAGAGAAATGAAGCAGTAAAGATCAGAGACAGAGACAGAGCTGCTGTGGAAGCACAAAAAAAATTAAGAGTTTCATGTTTTGAATTGAAACATTAATCTGAGCCACCGGAGGACAATCATGATGTACTTTAGAGTGCTAGTGTAAATGTGCTATATGCACTATTGTAAAAAAAAAAGCAGGTTCAGTACGACATGTTTACATTGATCAGAGTACCATCATATCAAACTTTAACCCGCAGCAGGTCAGCTGGGAGATTAAAGCATATCTTACATGTTTGAACTGAACTCTCCTCTGTGACCGCTTTCACTTATGATCAGTCACAGCTCTCTGCAGCCTTCAGTGTCAATCTGTCGTTTCTACATTACAACTTTACAAAGACTTTATGTTTAGAATGAATATATGACATCACAAAAACAACAGGCACTGATAGCTGTATCGATTACTAACACTAATGATGCTCTGAGAAAAAGCCTTTAACTCCTCAGCTTGAAAAAAAGAAAACACTGACATCATTCATCATTACAGAGACATTTTATTTCTTTCTTTTTTTTTTTAAATACAGAGTCTTTTACAACAACATGCTGGACATCTTTATTCTGCTTTTGTTACATATGAGGGTTGGAAAAAAAGTTCACAATATCAATTGTATCCAGTTGGCAATGAGATCATTTTAATATTCATTATGTTTTCCATTTGGAGTTTTCTTTCATCCTCATGATGGCAGTGAAGTGTGACACAGATGGAACAAAACTCACATGATCACAGTTGGAGTGCACTCTAATAAACCTTGAATAGTAATAACACTAACCATGAATCTCTTTTTTTCCTAGTTTGGAGTCGCTTTGGATGTCTTCTCTAGAAAAATTTCAAGACTATGGCGTCTCATCTGTGTGAGTTTTCATGTGTCGCAACAAAACACTATTACGTGTGAACATTTTCCCACAGATTTTACAAATATATGGTTTCTCACCTGTGTGAGTTCTTATGTGAACTAACAAATGACTACTACATGTGAACTTTTTCCCGCATGTGTTACAAAGATACGGCTTCTCACCTGTGTGTGTTCTCATGTGCTCCAGCAAATTACTGCTTCGTGAGAACATTTTCCCACATCTTTTACAATGAAAGGGTTTCTCACCTGTGTGCGTTCTTAAGTGCGCTGTCAAATGCGTACTACATGTGAACTTTTTCCCACAGGTTTCACAAGGATACGGCTTCTCACCTGTGTGGATTCTCATGTGGACCAGCAGATGACTGTTCTGACTGAAGGTTTTTCCACATGTCTGGCAGGAATGTAACTTCTCTTTCGTGTGGATTCTCATGTGGCGCACCAAATTGCTCCTATGAGAAAAACCTCTCTGACATATTTTACAAGAATGTGGCTTCTCACCAGTGTGGATTCTGTAATGCTCTTTTATTTGGGACCTTTTCTTAAAGCTTTTTCCACAAATATCACATTTTAAAGACTTTTTACCTGTTTCAGTTTTACATTGACTACCTGAAATGGGACAGTCTTCAGCATTGTTACTGGCTCTTCTGTTCGTATTTCCAGTTGATCCTGGATCTACTTTCTTGCTTCCTTCCTGATCCTGGGTGTGAGTTTCAGGACAGCTGTGAGGGAGTGGCCTCTCTCTGTCTGGTTCACTGTGCTCTCCTTCCTCAGCAGCAGTCACCATAAAGGTATCAGTCTCCTCCTTCAGTCCCAGCTGCTCTCCATCCTGACTGCTGCACAGTTCCTCCTGTTCCTCTTTAATCTGTGGAAGTTCTGGTTCCTCCTGCTCCACACTCAGCTGGAGTGCCTGATTAGTGAGATCCTCCTCTTCCTTAAAAATGTGTTGCTGTTGGAGGTCTGCAAGGATGAAAGGAGAGAAGAAAAACGCATATTAAAATATCGATTGTAATAAGGCTCCACAGTGTGAGTCAGTAAAGAAATCCATAAAAAAATGTCCTCTTCTAGTCACTGCTGATGATCGCTGCTTTCAGCTGTTAAAAATATTGGAGAATGAGTGTTGATGTTGGAATCCTCACAGTCAGTTGTGAAGTGAGAAAGTCGCATCAAGATTATTAGAAGGAGAAAGGCCACAGCTGAGAATACACACCCTACTGCACAATTAAGAACAGAAAAGACTGCCTTTTATTGTCATAATACAGATGAACAGTGTGTATTAAAAAATAGCAATTATACAAATATTGGAAAAAATTATTGTTATATCTTTACAGTGCGGGCTATTGCACATAAATTAAATGTCGCACAGTGGTGATGTTAGTTGAGTGGTAGTCTGTGTATAGAAGTCCTTGAATTGGGGGGTGGAACTGTGTGGTCAGTGCTTGTGTGAGTTCAGGCTGGTTATGGCTCTTTGAAAGAAACAGTTTTTTAGTCAGTCGGTCTTTGTGCTGATGCACCTGTAGTGCTGCCCTGAGGGAAGCAGGCTGAAGAGGTCAAAGCCAGGGGGGGGAGCTGTCCTTGATAATGTTTGCTGCTCTGCTGAGGAGGAATAAATGTCCATCAGGGAGGCGAGAGGGCAGTCAATGATCTTCTGTGCTGCCTTAACTACACTCTGAAGCCTCGCTCTGTCCGCCTTAGTACAGCTGCCGAACCATACTGTGATGCAGTATCTCAGCAGGCTCTCAATGGACGAGCGGTAGAAGGTCAGCAGCAGGTTGGAGTCCAGTTTGTACTTCCTGAGGACCCTCAGGAAGTGTAGTCGCTGTTGGGTCTTCTTGATGACCATTGTGATATTGTCTGTCCAGGAGATGTCAGTGGAGATGACGACTCGGAGAAACCAGAAGGTATGGACTCTCTCCACACAGTCTGCATTGATGTAAAGGGGGACTAAGTCAGTGCTGTGGCTCCTGAAGTCGACAATGACCTCTTTGGTTTTCTTGGTGTTCAGTGCCAGGTTGTTCTCTGAACACCATGCTGCCAACTTCAGGACTTCTTCTCTGTAGAAGAAGGGATGGCTACCTGATCTAGTGAGAGGCTGCAGATTCTTGTGAAGATGAGGGTGAGCTGGTGGGTGCATGCTCTTAGCACCTTGCCAGGTACTCTGTCTGGATCGGCAGCCTTCCTGGGGTTCACTGCTTGGAACACCTGTGTGACATCGTGCTCTGGTACAGTGAGTGGAGCGGTGCAGGAACCAGGTGAAGGTCAGGGTGAGGATGGGAACAGGGCTGAAGCAGCTGAGTGCTGCTGTTGTGGTGTTTCGGAGCAGGTGAAGAAGCAATTTATCTCCTCTGCCAGCGGTTCACTCAGGCTCACCAACAGAGGAACATCAGCAGAAGTACAGCAGTAAGAGAGGGAAGTTAAAATGCAAGATACAGCTGAAAAGCTGCTGGCAATAAATAATATACATGTTCAATGACTGAATAATCAACATGAAATGTGTGGATGTTAAATGGAAAGCTTGTGGTGATTGTTTTGAATTAGCGTCCTTCAGCATATACTCTAAAATAAAAGCACTGTTTCCGGTTACATTAACATTCAGGGCTAAAATTCTACAGACTGCTCTCTTGCCTGATCTCTACATTAGCAGGAAGAGTACGCTTGGAATCAGCATCACATATAAAGGAAATTTTTAAATGCTGCAGTAAAATGAGAAAAAGTAATAATTATAATTTTAGTAAGATCTAATACATATATTAAAAGATCAGAGGAGAAATTCTGTCCATTAGGGCTGGGCGATATGGCCTAAAATCCATATCACGGTATAATTTGAAGCATGCGTGGTAACGATACATATCGCGATATGTTATTTTCTTCTGTATAACGTATTTTACACACTTAAAATCCTTTCATTTTCTCAAAAATCTACAGTGCGCCTTATGTATGAATTCTGGTTGTGCTTACTGACCTTGAACTGATTTTATGTGCTACACGGCGCTCAAAAATCTGTCAAAATGTAGCTTTGGTAAGCTACGAAGCCGCACCGCTTGATACCATTGATTTGTTGTGTGGTAGTAACAGGTAAATGAACTTTTTTTTTTTTATTATTTGAATCTATATGAGTGCTTGTGTATAAATACACAAACAATACACACATGCTTTCCATTGTGTAATTTAAGTGATCTAGTAGCGCTGTTTTGGAAGTTCAGTTAACGCTAGAAATGTGCTTTGGACTTTGTGCATGCTTTGTCTCTGGGGCCACCGCATATATTTATATATAAACATATATAAATAAAACCACTTTCTTTTACATTAGTAATTCCTTATTTATTATTGTTAATAATAAATTAATTAAAGCAACAAAACAACCTGAAGAGCCGGTTCGGAGCTGAACGATCCGACTCTTTTTTGTCACGATCCTGGGTCTTATGACCCAGTGTTTTGAGTTTAGTTTATTTGGATGTTTATATGATTAAACTCATGAGTTTAATCATATAAACATCGTGACACTTTTTAATGATCCGAGCCGAAAGAGCCGGTTCTCTAAAAAGAGCCGCAAATCCCATCACTACTTTCGACCAAAACAGGCGCAGCTTGATGACATCATCAACATGCGGCAGAGCGGTATAGTCAAAATCTGTACCGTTGGCCAAATTTGTATTGTTTCTACCGTTTACCGGTTATACCGCCCACCCCTACTGTCCATTACAAATCGTAACAGATCCCTCCGGAAGGACAGATCGAGTACCCTGGCACTGACCTTCCTGTGAAGACTGAAGAGATGCCAGCTCAGCAGGTGGTGGTGATCAGCTGACAGCTCAGTTTCAGTTTTCAGTTTTATTTGTCATATGCAAGTTAGCACAGGGTCAACATCGCAATGAAATGTATTTGACGAGCAGCAGACAGTCACTTAGCAGAATGGTACAGTAGAAGAAAAAATAAATAAAAAATAAAAATAAAACAAATAAAATAAAAATAGTAAAGAGCAAAATATTAATAAGATGTAGTAAAGGAAAAAAAGAGAGAAATTTCCAGTTAACTGACTGAATATATGTATGTATATATAAATATATGTACACACTAGTGATTAAATAAAGAAAATCTTAAATAGGAATGTGGGGGGGGGGGGGGGGGGGGCAGATGGGACACTGCACAGGGATGAGCAGCAGTACAACTTTACAAAGTTTTGTTTTTTGTGGCACTTGTTACAGTATTGCACTTTTTAAAAATATAACTATCAATAAAGTGGAGTGACCAGTGCAGATTAAACAGAGAACTTGTGAAGCTGCAGCTTCTGAGTGCGTCCCGTGGACTGTGTGTGTTGAAGTGTTGTGGTTGAGGCGTCGTATGGCTTGATGGTAGAAACTGTTTAAGTCTTGTAGTCCGAGCAGACAGACTCCTGTAACGTCTGCCAGATGCTCTCTACACCCAGCTGACAACAACGCACCGTTACAAAATCAGCTGAGAGCTTTAACCACAAATCAAGCTGCATTAGCCGGACTGTCTGTGTGCTAGCTGACTCACCAAAACTTTAAACTCCAATCAGAGATAACGGGTATCACAGGGCTAGTTATCAACTCTCACCGGCTGAGAGACAGACTGTCTGCCCACTGAGGTTTCCTGAGCCTCGGTGTGGGGTCCCTGTGCTCACCCTGACAGCAGCTGCAGGACAAACTCCTCGTTTAAAACGGCGTTAATGAGAATCACGGCAGCATCAGAGTGACTCACCTGCTGTGTGCAGCTTGATTTGGGGTTTCCAGGTGATATCCAGCAGTCTGCGCTGACGGTCGATCTCTTCCTCGTACTGGACGATCGTTTTTTCAAACTCCAAGAATATTTGTTCAGCAGCAGCAGTTAGTCGCTCGTTGATGAACTCTCTCAGATACTGAACTGAAGGCATCGTTGCTGCCGCAGCTCACACACTCAGCTCACACACGCCGCTGATTCAACACAGGAGGAAAGCTACTTCCGCCTTTCCTTTGTTTACTTCCGCCTGGTGTCACACGGTCAAGCTCCGGCAGACAAGGGCTTCCGTTCCACTTCGTTTACGTAACAGCTCAGTTTCTAGTAGGAGGGAATATTAGTTACACATTCCTGAAAAATAAAAGGTTTCGGTAACATCATAAGTGGATTTTTCCCACCTTGATGCTAAAATCTGATTCCCAGTTTGAATCCAGTGGCTCCAGAGACTGTTTGGTATCACAGGCTGTGGATCTCTGTGGTGAACAGGGTTTGGAATATAAACAAGAATAAGATGCTCTCTGCTGAGTAAGCTGTACCTGTGCAGGCCGCCTCCTCTTACATCCCACCATCAAACACCACATCTCACACTTTATGGAGCACGTGGCAAAAGGACTAACACCTCAGCTCACCTCCATTCACCTGATTCAGGTGTGTTGACCCAGGGTGAGATCTAAAACCTGCAGGGAAACCGGCCCTCGTGGACTAGGGTTGGGGACCCCTGCCTTACAATAATAAGCTTCTTGAAGCTTAATATTGCTCTGATTTGGCACTATATGAATAAAATTGAACTGAGTTCATTTAATTGATGATTTTAAATTGGTTTAGCTGAAGAGAAAGGACCCAGAAAACTGTTTGACGTACTTTTCATTGGTATATATTTTTTAAAAAGATACATAAAACACAACTGTTAATATGAGTATAACATCTATGTATGTTTTAATGGAACCTGTACCTGGAAACCAACTGTGTGGTGTTCATGTGCCTGAATATGGGACTAATTTATTTGTGCATGTATGTTTTTAATTTTCAGTGGAATATCTAATAAAGTAAGGAAAAGGCAAACATGTTAATCCATTCAGGCATCACGCTGCATGTATAGAGTAGAGAGGTTCCTTCACTGGTCCTGCTGCTCATTCTGTACAGGCAGCTGAAGGAGTTTAGGTCAGGAAACCAATTTGTTGACACAGACAAGCATGGAGACAGAACACAGACACGGTCTGCTTTTCATTTGGATGATGATAGTCTCCTTTCAGACTGGTGAGTCATCAAAAGATGGAGTGAGATGTAAAAGGAGATGATGGACATGAAAATATCTGGATGTTGTTTGAATTGATTCACTTTTTATAAACTAAGTTTAAAGATGCAGAAACATGATGGTGAAATATGTCTTTGTTGTTTTCAGGATCCTCTGAGGATTTACTGACACCATCTAAAGATGTAGTGACGAGTTTGGAAGGAGGCACTGTGACTCTCTCCTGCAACTATTCAGGCTCTGTCCTCAACCTCTACTGGTATCATCAGAAGTCTGGTTCACATCCACAGCTTCTCATAGATGAACATTCAGAGAAAATAGAAAAGCTGAAGTTTAGAAAAGATCAAGACAAAAGCGATTTTTATCTGGAGATCTCCTCTGCTGCAGTGTCTGACTCTGCTGTGTACTACTGTGCTCTGCAGCCCACAGTGACAGGAAACAGCAAAACTCTGTAAAAACCTTTGTAGAGACAGAGCTGCTGTGGAAACACAAAACTATTTGATTGGCTCAGCTATTAAACTGGCCCCGCCCACTGAAGTTGAGCTCATCCAATGACATTATTTGTTGGTCATTGTGCTGCAGTGGAAGAACATTGTTCATGTGCTGTCTGTCTGGCTTTAATAACTCCAAAGACATGTTGCTGCACCTCTTTTTGCTTCTATCTCACATTATAGGTGAGTTTAAGAACAGGGATTAAAGTTTAGTTGAAGCTGCTGCATTAAGCAGATATACAGACTGCATTTCACTACTTTTCTTCTTTCTTTTTCCAGGACTAACAGCTGGAGACTCAATCACTCCTCAACAACCTGAAGTCACTAAAACAGAAGGAGAATCTGTCAAACTCACATGTAGCTATGAGACAACATCAGAGTATGTACGCCTTTACTGGTACAGACATCATTCTGACCTTCAGGCTCCTCAGTTTATACTCTACAAAGGAGCAAGATCATGGAGTGGCAATGAATATATTCCTGATAATCGATATGAATCAAAAACATCACGTACAACAACTACTCTGACCATAGCAGCCCTAACCCTGGCAGACACAGCTCTCTACTACTGTGCTCTAGAAACACAGTGATACAAAGTGTAGAAGAGGCTGTACAAAAAACTGAACACAGATATCTGACTACTCTTCAAAGAGGAGGGAAGTGGTATTCAAAGCACAGCTTCATATCAGATGGATTCTGCTAATTCCTGTTTTATCAGAGTCACTGTGGTTACAGCTGCTAATGAAACACTGTGGGAGGATTCACATGAGCAGCAAATCCACATCAACCACAAACCAACACTTTATATCAGCATCAACAGTCAGGAGGAAACATCGTTGCTGTCTGTGGTCCTGAAATGTATCTGAAATGTAAATGTTGTGAAACGAAGGGGTTTCTGTGTCTCTGAGCCCAGGACACTCTGACAAAAGACATTCTTCATCTCTAGAATTTCACTTCCTGATTTAAGTTAACAGTTCAGTATTAATTCTGACACACTGTGGCTTCTGATTCTGTGAAGTGTCTTCATCTTCAGCTCTGCATCTTTACTGCGGCTTTGATTTATAAATCATGAAACAGACAAAAAAACTTTAGAAAGAGCTTTTTATAAGAGCATGGTGAAAATCTACAACTTCCTAGTTCACTTCTAAATCCTGAACAATCAAATTAGTTGAACACAAAACAGAAGAACAAAAAGTGATACATGCTTTCCACAAATAAAGACTCGTGTGGTCAGTGAGCACTACAGGATTTCTCAGCTTCAGTATCTCAGGTCACAATCCAAATATCTGAGGTAGAGTAAAAACAAGGGAAAGAAATCATACGTAGATCAGAATATGACAGAATACAATGGAAACATTTCATACATCCAATTTTCCAACCAAGTTCAAATACACACACAAACTTAACTGATGGCGGTAAAAGGAAAACAAAGCCAGTCTAACTCTGCAGGGAAAGAAGCTGCTTTAAAAACTAAGAGTTGCCGAGCAACGCCTCCACTTGTACCTTTTTATATTTACATTGTTGTGACAGAAAACTGCAGCAAACTCACAGAACTTAGCAACAACAGGAAACACTTCGGTTCATATTACACACATTTTTCTTCCAGAGTGTGTGAGTGCTGGAAAACACAGATTTTATAATAAAACAGAACAAATGTACTTCTTTCTATGGCCGGCTTTAACAAGATTTTATATCATGAAACACCAACTGTAATTCAGTGGCAGTCCGCACATCCAATGGTACACTGCACAAACAAACTTAACACAATTCAAACAAAAAAATGACCTTGTGTGAGAGTCATCATGTTTCACTGGAGAATTAAAAACCCTCATCATGAGAGCGCCACAGCGTGACACAGAAGCGACACCGAGTCGTCTAAAGTTGCGTCTCTGCTGCACGTGAGAGAAAATAAAAGTATAACACATTAAAATTGTCACATGTGTTGATCAGTAGCTTGTAGGGCAGTGAAATGATCAGATTTCAGCCTTGAATTTGATTTCGGCTTCCTTCTATGAAATGATGATCATGGAACAAAACTGAAACTGTGTGCTCGACAAACAGAAACACAAAGCACATCAAGCACTTCCTGAATCACAGCTGTTCTCTGAAGGTTTCTGAACTCGTCTGCACGAGTAACACTGTGTTAAGACACATATAACAAACTGAGCTGTGCTGTACAGCAGAGGGGGAGGAGCTTGTCGTTCAGCATCATACTCTGTTGTTTTGAAATACTTTGAATTTAATGGAAGAGACGTAATGAAGACGAAATCACGTGTGAAGAGTGCTTTAACCTCCTAAGACCCGAACTCTTCCACGGCAGCATTTTTAATTTCTCTTTGATATTTGGTCACATTGGGGCCCGATGAATGTAAAACAAAGAATTGCCAGATTTTTTTTTTAAAACCTATTTTTGTTTTTAAGAAAAATGAGAGCCACATATGAGGATATTCGTTAAATTCTGATAGAACAGTAGCAGTTATAACGTCCTTGTAAGTGGATATCAGGCCCTTGTAGAGCAAAACTGAGTGTTTTGGTCTAAATAACCCAAATGTGACGTCCACATGTGGACGGCAGGTCCCAGGAGGTTAATCGCCTGAAAACAATCCACGAACTGCAGCACGACTGACGCACAAAGGCTAAAAAAATAAAGAAATGGTTACTGACGTGAATTATCCGACATTGACTCGTCATGTCCACATTAAAGGTTTCAGCACACGGACTCGCTCACTCAGTTCTTTTCCTGAAGAGGAGATACCTGCACTGCATGCAAAAGCACGCAGGGAAACGCAGAGGGAGGTCAGAGCTGTCGATCTACATCCATCATGCAGGTACAGTGAATGCAGGGAAAGACTTTACATTTAGTGTTAAGTGGATGCGCTTACATCAGGCTTGCACCATATCGGTCTGGAAAAGTGTTTTAATTAATTCGTTAATATATATATATTTTTTGGAATGTGGGTGAGTAATATTAGGAATGTTGCATTATGGATGTAAAAGCAGTGTTATGTTTACATGCAGTAAATGCCTTTTGTCACTAAAATACATGAATAATCACAACAATTAATCATGATCACAATATTGATCAAAAATCTCCTCAACAAACAGTTTTGATCCTTTCGTTAGTCATATGTTCAAACTCACAGCACCGCGGCTGTTCACACTGCAAAAACAATACAGCTGCATCTTAGTCACCTACACTAGCCAAATGCTTTTTAATGGCCAACAGTCATTTCATATTTATTTTATAGTTTGTTTGAGATCTGCTGCTGAGAATGATTCAATTTTAGATTTACATGTTTGTTCGATCACGGCTGCAGAAATGAGGATGAACTCTGCTGCAGACGCACAGGATAATACACCCAATCTTTGTTTTCATCATGAAGAGGAGTGAGTGTGTGTTAAAGTGGGAAACACATTAGTCGAAATCTTACACTTTTTCTTCACCTACTGTTTCTGCTTTTACACACACACATATATATAAAAAACATAAATAACTGTAAAGTTAAAAATCAGACAAATGTTAGTTCCTAATACTGTTTTACCTTCATATGTTTACAGAATGAGATCATTCGTCATCTGAACTAAAGACATGTTAAGTGCCAGTATGGATATGGGACTCTACTTCCCGCCTCCTATTTTCCCATTTCTGAAACAGGCGTGAGCATCTACAGTGTTCATACTAAGTGCTATCGTCTACAGGCTGCTGTTGAATAGAAGAATATCAGAAGACTACAAGTAAGCTATTAGGTTAGCGCTGGTTCACATCACTACATCTTAATATACATAAATCTGCATCATCACCGGTGAGAGCCGAGAACACGCAGAAAAACTGACGTTTAAATTGTGATGTTTTTTTGTTTGCCAGATTTCATTATTTCATCACATTTATGGAACATATATGAGCTTTTGAGATCAGTCATGACCTTAATTTCAGACTTTTAAAGACCTTTTATTGAGCAGCAGGAAGTGTGTAAAGCCAGCTCTGATTGTGAAAGCTTTACTGTTAACGGGTTCGATACTTTTGTCAAGCTCGGCTTCATAAATACACTGTTCCCTGCTAAATATTCAGAACTAAAACTTTTTCCCTGCGTGAGTTTTCATGTGGACTACCAAACCACCTCTTTGGGTAAAACTTTTCCCACATACTTTGCAAGTGTATGGCTTCTCACCGGTGTGAATTCTCACGTGCACCAATAAAGTACATTTTTTAGTGAAACTTTTCCCACATGTTTTGCAAGAATACGGCTTCTCTCCTGAGTGGATCCTCATGTGGACCAACAAACTGCCCCTTTGAGTGAACGTTTTCCCGCACGTTGTGCAAAAAAATGGATTTTCACCTGTGTGCACCGCCTTGTGCTTTTTAAGTGCTAATAAGTAACAAAATCTTTCACCACAGGTGTTACAGGTATACGGTTTCTCACCCGAGTGGGTCCTCATGTGAACCAACAGACTACCGCCTTGAGTAAAACTTTTCCCACACGTTTCACAAAGATAGGGCTTCTCGCCTGTGTGGATTCTGTGATGTTCGTGTATTTTGTATTTATTCTTAAACAATTTTCCACAAACATTGCATGTTACCGACTTTTTACCTATGTGAGTGTTACACTGACCCTCTGACGTGGGAGAGTCTTCTGCATCGGTACTGTGACTTCTGTTTGCACTATGTGCTGATCCTAAATCTACATAGTTGCTTCCTCCCTGATCTTGACCCTCAGCTATCAGGAAGCTGTGAGAGAGGAGCTGCTCCCTGTCTGGTCCTGGTTCACCGTGGGCTCTTTCCTCATAAGCAGCAGTCACCATAAAGGTATCAATGTCCTCCTTCAGTGCAAGCTGCTGTCCCTCCTGACTGCTGTAGAAATCCTCCTGTTCATGTTTGATCTGGAGAGGCTCCGGTTCCCCGCGGTTCTCCTCATTACAGAGCTGCTGGTTAATGAGAAATTCCTCCTCCTTATAGACATGCTGCTGCTGGAGGCCTAGAACGAAGCCAACATAAAGAAAACTGATGTGATGACAGAAAAACTCCTCTGAGCAATCATTAAAATAAACACACACAATGTTTCCGCTTCTTCTAAAAGTCTGGTCGGATGTGTAAAAAAAGCTAAAAATCATGTCTGGAAAAAGGTTTATTTGTTTTTTGTGGGGATAAACTGTTTATTTTACAGCATTACCTCAATAATGGAGTGGATTTATATAGCGCTTTTCAAGGCACCCAAAGCGCTTTACAATGCCACTATTCATTCACTCTCACATTCACACACTGGTGGAGCAGCTACAGTTGTAGCCACAGCTGCCCTGGGGCAGACTGACAGAAGCGAGGCTGCCATATCGCCATCGGCCCCTCTGGCCAACACCAGTAGGCGGTAGGGTAAAGTGTCTTGCCCAAGGACACAACGACCAGGACAGAGAGCCCAGGGATCGAACCGGCGACCTTCCGGTTACAGATGCGATTCCCAACCCCCTGAGCCACAGTTGCCCCAATAAACCCACACACAGGGTTAAAAAGGTAGTAAAGAGCTCCATAAAATTACATTTATAATATATTAAAACTCAAAGAAACCTACAGAACCAAACTCACTAATATAACTACATGCCCAGGCACATAAGGAAAAGGCCTTTTATATTCTTATTTCTTGGTGTCAGTGAAAATCCAGGCAGGGCGTTCTGAATCAGCTGAGAAGACAGTTAAAAAAGTTTTTAAAAAATGAAAGTTTGGACGACCTTGTGAGAGTCATCAGCTGTTCTTGTTTTTTTGTTTTGCTTCTGTGTGTTTTTGGCTTTGAAGCAGAGCTTAAATATAACAACTGACATTAAATATAAAGCGCTTTGAGGCAATTGTTGCTGTGCTTTGGTGCTATATAAATAAAACCAAAGTGAAGTGAAGTGCTATTGCAGATCAATATTATATTTCCATCATCTGTTCATGTGTTTTATTTGATCATTTCTCGTTCACTCTGAGAGTTACTGAGAGCACCAGGGGGATAAGTGGATGCTACCGACAGTAACGTCAGGCTCAAAAAGCAGCACCACTGCTCTCATTCTCTCCTCTCAGTGTGCACACAGACACGCATGGTAGTGGGTAACCATGGTAACCGTTCAGGTTATTATTTCCATGCAAAAGAAAGAACACAAGTACCGCTGTTGTCTAACCGAGTAACTAGGGCTGCTCGATTATGGCAAAAATGATAATCACGATTATTTTCACTGAAATTGAGATCTCGATTATTTGACGATATTTATTTAACCCTTTAAGACCTACTATAGAACCAAGTCCACCAGAGCTTATATTATTTTTTTACATGCTGTAGTGCCATTTGTGGGAGCATTTCAAGTTGCTATACATCAATACAACTGTTATAGCCCATATTTTAATAATATGTCTGCATTAAGTCCATAGTAATTACATAAATTGCAAAAAAGTGCAATAAACTACAAAAAAATTGAAAATCGCTTTTGTTTTGTTTACATATATTTCTACTTGGAGAAATTTAAGAGGTTTATCCCTCAAAACTTTAAATACAATAAAGTTGCAAAAAATAGTTTACAACAACAGGAAATTTATTTTGAGTGTCTTCATAGTTTTATTTTGGAGATACATTAATTTTTATATACTGCAGGAAAAACAAAAAACAATCCTATGATGCAAATTTGCAAAGAAAACAGCATGTGCATCATTTCACTGTGGGAAGTGTTACGAACAGCTGATAGGAACGGCAAAGCGTGTTTCTGGAATATTATGCTTTTGTTCCTGCAAGCGCTTTTTATGCAATTTTTGCAAAGCTATATGTGGAACAAAACCGTGACCGAGGACAAGCTGATGGCATCAGATGTAAGTACAACTCCTCCGGTTTCATATGCAAAACAAATTATTGCGCTAGCTTACACGGTTCAGGTTCTACAGGGATTTAAAAATAGTTACGCAAAACGGAGCGTGCTGCTCTGACCGGCTTTAAAGGGTTAACAATGACTTAAAAAAATAATATAAAATAGTGTGCAACACCACTGAAGTTTTTTTTTTTACCTCTCTTTTCAACCAACAGCAGTCACTCTCCTCTCCAAATAACTTCTGCTTAGCTTTCCGAGCTTCCCTCGGGTCCTCTTAATCAGCGGTCTCCAACCTTTTTTGCGCCACGGACGGTTTATGCCCGACAATATTTTCACGGACCGGCCTTTAAGGTGTCGCGGATAAATGAGGGAGGGGCTAATAATCGGCTCCGTCATTTTTAATGATCGTTGAAAGCCCAGATCGTAATCGTGATTAAAATTCGATTAATTGAGCAGCCCTACGAGTAACTAATATACTGTGCATGTATATAGTGCATGTTACTTTACAAAGTCAGTGTGCACTCTGTGACAATAATGTGACTTCAGAAGAAGAAAATAAGCCCTTCATTTGAAAAAATGTGATTGACTCAAAATAAAATACATAAGATGTGTGTGAAACAGAAGAGGAAGTGATGCAGCTGTGAAGACAGTTTCACTGGATGGAAAAGAACCCGGTAATAAAAAGCAACAGATGTGTTGGATGCACATCTGTAGCTGCATGAAATATTGGCCTGTAGTCGGCAGCGGACCTGACGACAGTTCAGTTCTTATGGTAGGAAATACTGTCTAAATATTTCCCTTTATGCAATGTTTTTAAATAATTAGCTGACTCAATGAAAAAATAATCTGATGCTAAGTAACCAATCATCACGTTGCACTATTTTTACAACCGGGGGCCTGTTCTTCGTACCTCGCTAAGTTAGCTGGATTTGATTGTTGACGATTTCGCGTGATCTTGGATCGTTCGGTTCCCCGAAGCTCATCCGGGACTTGCTGTCATAGCAACAGAGCCGTAAGCGTAAACCTGCTCGGGAGCAGGTTTACTTTATGTAAACAGGAGGTATGTCCGCTTCATTTATACGAAAGCAACAGCGATATTCCACCACTGTTTCACCATAAATAAATATTCTCAATGTAACCAAAGACAATGCAGCACCTGATCCATTTATTGATGTCACACAGATACATACAGGTCATTTCCTAAAAAAAGGGAAATGTACTATTAACATTCTATTACATGTATGTGATTATTACAGATGTAATTCATATTTCAGAGTAGTAATTGTAAATTACTTCGTGTAATCAAGACGGCTATAAAAGCGAAGGTGGATTTGGGAAGCCTGTCGCAGCCATGTCCTGTCCGTATACGCGAGCCACCCATTGCGGAAGGTGCAAGATTGATAAGGAGAGTCCTCAGAATTCAGCGTATATTGCGGGACAGACAGGATCCTTTAGCTCAGCGCGACAGTGTGCTCATAGAGAGATATCGATTTTCCCGTGAGGGTATTATTCACTTAACCAACTTGTTGACGAGGGGGTGCAGGACCACCACCTGTCTTTTGTTGCTCTGCCCTTTTCTTGGTTGCTGTTATAAACAAACAGATTATTCCAGGGTCTCTTTCCAAGAGACTAAAAGCAATATAAGTGATAAATATTACCATTCTGTAGAATATTCTTATATTTCACTTTTACCTGTTCCCATGTTCTAGTGGGTCCTGTTGTGGCTCTAATGTGAAAGGGATATAATATATAATGTAATATAATATAATATAATATAATATAATAATACATTTATAATATAATGTAATATAATATAATATAATATACATATTATATATAATGTAATATAATAATATATAATACATATAATATAATGTAATATAATATAATATATATAACATATTATATATAATGTAATATAATATTGGATAATATAGTGTAATATAATAAATCTACCCTACCGCCTACTGGTGTTGGCCAGAGGGGCCGATGGCGCGATATGGCAGCCTGGCTTCTGTCAGTCTGCCCCAGGGCAGCTGTGGCTACAACCGTAGCTGCCTCCACCAGTGTGAATGTGGAGTGAATGAATAGTGGTATTGTAAAGCGCTTTGGGTGCCTTGAAAAGCGCTATATAAATCCAATCCATTATTATTGTTATTATTAAATTACTTACGAGTTTAATTTGTCAGCAACTTTCTGCCAGCCCTCTCTCCTTGCTTTTGCAGCCTTTGCAGTGTTCGCTTGCGTTTTAATTAAACTCTGAAACTCCTGAAATCCCTCACTCAAGAGTTCTTGCTCTGCTGCCGAAAAATACCGAGCGCGCTCCTTCGACATTTTCGCCGACCAATCAGAGGGTTGCCGATCAATGTTTCTACTCTCGATGCGTAGCCCCTTTTACGACACCCAGTGATCTCACATTACTTCATCCAGCTGTACTAATCGTCAACAACAGGTGTGTTCGGAGAACCGGAATAGCGAGCTCAGAGTTAGCGCGATGATTTGATCTTGGATGTAGTAAGCGACGTACGAAGAACGGACCCCAGGACAATAAGAGAGAGCAGAGGTGATGACGAGTGCGGGAGTGAAGAAGAGCTGAACATCCCAAAGCAATAATATGATAAACATATAAAACATAGCAAATAACTTTAAAATGAGTGAGACTCGTTCATGTGTGAGTTCATCCATCAGAGTGAGACTCGCCTGCTGTGTGCAGCTTTATCTCGGGTTTCCAGGTGATATCCAGCAGTCTGCGCTGACGGTCGATCACTTCCTCGTACTGGACGATCGTTTTTTCAAACTCTGAGAAGATTTCTTCCGCAGCAGCAGTTAGTCGCTCGTTGATGAACTCTCTCAGATACTGAACTGAAGACATGGTTGCTCAAACGGCTCAAAGATTCAGCTGAGAGACGACAACAATACGACCGTCTTCCTTCTCTGTCACACAGGAGAAAAGCTAACGGAACTTCCGCTCTTTCCTGTTTACTTCCGCCTGGTGTTACACAGTAAAGTTCCGACAGAGAAGGACAGGTTTCGTTCCCAAATCAGGTTATAGTACGAAGTTCTATATTTATTTGTTTTTACCGCATTTCACAAAAACAAAACATTATTTTAACCATAATAAGTTAAATTTCAACTTAGAAAATTCTCTGTTTAAACTGAAAACTGATTGTTAGTTTGAGTTCTTCTCATTTTTATAAGCGAAATAGGTTATTGGTTGGTCGACTCACGTTGTGTTCAGCTGCTCCATAAGAATAACAGATTTTCCTTTTATTGTTTTGTTTTAATTTTTCCCCCCGTAAATTTATTTAACTGTGTGCTGGCTTGGTGAAGCACTTTAGTTCAAGTGCTTAAATTAAAGTAAGCGACTGGACTTCTATAAATTTCTTGAAGACGTTTCACTTCCTGTTATTAGGAGGATTTTAGACACCTAAACATATTATTATTGTTGTTGTTGTTAATAATAATAATAATAATAATAATACAACAACAAAACAAACAACAACAATAATAATAATAATTCTATTTCAAAGCGCCTTTATAGACACCCAATGACACTTAATGATAGAATAAAACACACAATAGAACATTGGCAGTGAAGAAAAATAAGAAAACAAAAGCACAAGATAAAATAAACAGGTTCACAGTGACTATGCAGATTTGAATAGGTGGGCAGTAGGAGGAGGGATTTAAACCGGGGAGAGAATCAAGGTTTCTTATATCTGGGGGTAGAGAGTTCCACAGCCTGGGAGCAGAGCAGCTGAAAGCGATGCCTGCCATGGTGCTGAGTGGAAAGAAGGCACAGCAAGCTGGATAGAAGAAGATGATCGAAGAGATAGTGCTTAACAGGTCAGCAAGGTAGGCAGGAGTGAGGTTGTGAAGGACCTTGTAGGTGAATAGAAGAAGTTTGTTCAAGGTTCAAGGTTCTTTATTTGTCACATGCATAGTTATACAAGTATAACACACAGTGAAATGTAGCCTGACACGCTCCTCGACATGTGCAAAAATGGGGGGGGGGGGGGGGGGGTGTAGAGGAAGAACATTATATATATATATATATAATATATATATATAAAAACACCCAGCACGCCCCTGCGGGTGGTTTATCCTTCAAGCTCGGGTCCTCTACCAGAGGCCTGGGAGCTTGAGGGTCCTGCGCAGTATCTTAGCTGTTCCCAGGACCGCGCTCTTCTGGACAGAGATCTCCGATGTTATTCCCGGGATCTGCTGGAGCCACTCGCCTAGCTTGGGAGTCACCGCACCTAGTGCTCCGATTACCACGGGGCCCACCGTTACCTTCACCCTCCACATCCTCTCCAGCTCTTCTCTGAGCCCTTGGTATTTCTCCAGCTTCTCGTGTTCCTTCTTCCTGATATTGCTGTCATTCGGAACCGCTACATCGATCACTACGGCCGTCTGCTTCTGTTTGTCTACCACCACTATGTCCGGTTGGTTAGCCACCACCATTTTGTCCGTCTGTATCTGGAAGTCCCACAGGATCTTAGCTCGGTCATTCTCCACCACCCTTGGGGGCATCTCCCATTTTGACCTCGGGACTTCCAGGTTATATATATATATATATATATATATATATATATATATATATATAGTATATACATTGGGTGAATGTGCAGTAGTAGCAGCAAGCAGGTGAATTCTGTACATTAATATGAATAGACATCTGACTATTTTACAGGACAGACAATATAAACATATTTAAAATTAAAGGAATTGAAATGTACATTGTGCCTTGGTTTAGTGTCTGGAAGAGTCCTGTCTCAGTCAATTATAGATGATGTGAGAGGGCGGGTGTGTGTGTTGGGCACGGATGGCTTGGGGATAGAAGCTCCTCTTGTACACTATCTGGAATTTCACAGGGAGCCAGTGAAGCTCCTGGAGAAACAGGGTGATGTTCTGGTCGGAGGGGTTCTTGTAATAATGCAGCTGAGTTTTGAACCAGTTGAAGTTGGAGATATTTTTGGGGAGACCATGCAAGAGAGGATTACACTAGTCAATACGTGAGTTAACGAGACTGTGGACATGAATGGACATAAAACAGTAATTATTCATAGATCCTTGTATGTTGACGATATTCACCATTTAGAAGCATTAAATATGTATATATCTATTTTAACATCCAATTTCTTAAACTCCAGCAGCTAAAACTGAATCCCCCCTTTCCAAACTAAAATTATGGCAGAATTAAAAGTTAGAAAATTATAATCTTTTATGTTGTTTTTTTCCTCTGCATCCATGCTTGTTCTCTCTGGGTAATAAAAAAACAAACTCTGCAGGAGGGGGAGATACAGGAGAGGTGGAGGAAGATCTCAGCCTGGGCGTCTATTGTCTTGTGTAGTCTGGAAGGTGAGTGGATGACGGGGTGGGTGCAGTTTTCTCTGTGGTGGGGTCGGGTGGACTGTCCCGGGCTCTGTGGGGCCGGGTGGCGCTGTTGTTCTGGGCCCCGGTCCGGATGGGCCTGAGCCCCCTTTCCCTGGCGGGTTGCAGAGTATGGGGGTGCCTACTGGGGTCAGCGGGGGAGCTGTATAGCGAAAAGCGCTATATAAATGCAATCCATTATTATTATTATTACCCGACTGCAATCTGGAAATATTAAATATTTGGTAAAAATGGTAAATGGTCTGTATTTGTATAGTGCTTTACTCGTCCCTAAGGACCCCAAAGCGCTTTACTATCCAGTCACCCACCCATTCACACACTGGTGATGGCAGCTACATTGTAGCCACAGCCACCCTGGGGCGCACTGACAGAGGCGAGGCTGCCGGACACTGGCGCCACCGGGCCTCTGACCACCACCAGTAGGCAACGGGTGAAGTGTCTTGCCCAAGGACACAACGACCGAGACTGTCCGAGTCGGGGCTCGAACCGGCAACCTTCCGATTACAAGGCGAACTCCCAACTCTTGAGCCACAATTGCCCATTTAGGCATGGATATCTCTCCTAAGCTTGCAGAATTAACTAAATTAAACTACATCCCGCTTTTAAAGGAAGTAGAAGGCGATCTGGCTAGATGGAAATCTCTGCCCATATCACTCATGGGAAGGGTCGCTGCTATAAAAATGATGGTCTTCCAAAAAAGAAATTATTTATTTTCAATGATCCCAAATAAGCCATCACAAGATTGGTTCAGATCTCTAGACTCGTATATTTCTAAATTCCTTTGAAAAGATAAACCCCCACGTATCCGCTTAAAAACACTACAAAAGACCAAGGATAAAGGAGGATTAGATCTGCCCAACAGGCTTCAGTTCATCTCCAGATGGTTAAAACACACCCTCTTAGATGAACCTTGGATAGATGTAGAACAGGCACTATGTAATAATCTAGAAATTTCAGACCTATCATTATCAGCTCAAACGTCAAACGACATGAATGCTTTAAAAGCATCAATATCAGCTCTTCTCTGACAGCATGGTGGGAGTTTCTAAAAATAACAGAGTCTTCATTAATCCCATGCAAACGTACACCTCTGGAACCATCTGGGCATATTACAAAACAATAATATGATAAACTTTCCAGATTGGAGTTATAAAGGAATTAAATACCTGGAACATATGTGGAAGGAACAGACTTTATTTCGTTTGACAGACTAGTTACACAATATGGGATCAACAAGAAACGATTTTTGGAATATCAACAAATGAAATCCATAGTAAAAAAGAAATTTAATCCAGTGAAGCTGAATTACAAACACCACCAAGTGTGATACAATTTTTTAATCTTAAAACTCCCAAACTATTGTCTAAAATATACAGAACACTTCTAAAATAGATGAATCAATATCCTTCCTATTGCAAAATGGGAAGCGGATTTATCGATCAGCTTAGACCAAAACCTTTGGTCTCAGATATGCTTAAAAACCTTTCAATGGATCAGAAATCTCAGTTTGCAATTAATGCAATATAAAATATTAAATAGAGTGCACTATACAGGTCATAGGATGTTCAAAATGGGCTTTACGTCTACCAACAACTGCTCACACTGTCAAGCAAATACACCGGACAATTATATCCACGCTCTTTGGTTCTGTCCACCAGTTCAGAAGTTTTGGCGCGAGATATGTGAAGACTTATCAAAGTGTCTGAAATGTAACATTCCAGCCTCCCCTTTAGTGTGTTTGTTGGGCAACTTGGATGAGGTCACTGCAGAAATAAACACAGCCCACGTTGTTTTTACGACCCTATGCATTGCTAAGAAAACGGTCCTCATTAACTGGAAAAATAAAAATATCTTAGTTCTAACCAATATAAAAACCATCTAATAGATCACATTAGTCTTGATACAGCCTCTGCCATCACATTTGATCAACAGCGAACTATAGCAGTCCCTTAATTAACCTCTGCCTGTCCTCGCAAACCACCAACAAAGTCTCGTGGCACCAGGTTCTGTCCTCTATCACTCCTTTTAAGATATCCGAACTCCTCCTTGCGCATTATTCCTCAAGGTGTCCCTTCAGTTCTCATGTGCTTTCACTAGCAACATCTAAACCCTCCCTCCTTGACATAGCCATTCGAGACCACTCTCCAAGCCGACTCGCGGTTCTGACGACATTCAAAATGGAATTATCATCTTCTGTGAGGTTCGTGGAATCAGGTGGCGCTCTGCCAGTTTTGGGGGTTATGATTATAGAAGGTGGTTTTACTCTAATCAGTTTGCAAACCCGTCCAAAGCTGCTGACTGTCACCTCTGTTCATTTCAGAAATTGGTGCCGTTCAGAGTCGATCCACGTCGATACCTGATCGAGGGTTCCCCTCATTCATCCGTTAAGGTTTTCTCTTCTCCAAAATTCATTCCTAATTGTCTGAGCCCATCCACTTGATTCTATGGAATCCTGGACCGATTTATTGAGGACACGGACTGTTCATCTTTGCTAGCCTTCCCACCAGTTATATTCCTCTCCTCTGGGTGGTGATGTCACTTGGTGTTCGTCCTGTCTTCCTTCTCTCACTCCA